GCTGGCTGGAATTTGCACGGTAGGCTAGCCTTTGGGACTGCGCTGTATCATTGAGTCAACTGGCGGGGTTTCGATTCCCCGGTTGTACGTGACAAGGCGTAGGGTCTCCTGTCCAACCTCGTGGGTTTTCTCCGGGTCCTCCGATTTCCTCCCACTGCTAATGACCCCTACGCGCAAGCGAATTATTAAAATAATGAACCATATGTTAGTCCCGAAATGACCTCTAAACATGCTCGTACAGCGGCGCTAGTCTTCTTTTATATAGAATTCCAACTGCCAAGGGATCTTTTACGGTCACACCAATGTGTACACGGGACTTCGGAATCGCATTCATGTCAGCTACTCAAATATGTAACTGGTTCAAAAATTGATTGAATATTCAATGAAATATCGCCAATTTTCTGGTTTCGTGCACGTTAAAGATTTGACGTCACTAATAAAACTTTAATATTAATTACAGATAGAGTCCATGCTCCAACAGCGTCACGCCTTTTATCACAGGTACAATATTCGATACTTCTTTACGATACTACTGCAACCGCTTAACAAATTCGACTTTCTTATAAACAGCGCGAGCCGTCGATTTCTATCCAGATGATTACCAGTATAAGATAATTTTGACAAAGAAGCAACAATATTAATTCAAAGACTAATTATTACACACAGCTATCAACTATTTCTGTTACAGGGTCACTAAACCCATATATTGGATAGAAGAAAACACTCATAGTTGAAATAATTTTAGTTCAAATATCATCACTGATAAAAGCACTCTTGAATTGGCTCTATACGTTGACAAAACGTACAGATTGTATCCCCTCTTATGTTTCGCTTAACAATGAAAGGTGCCGTGTTCAATTTTCGATCCCTTTGTTCTGCTACTCCTGAAATTTGGAACTGTTGTACAATGGTTTTATATATAACACTACTGATAGGCCTCTCTGTAGAAGAAGTTCCAAAAAAATATTATGTTGACTTTTCGAGAAATAGACCTCTAAAAATGCTCCAAATCGTAAAAATACGACGTTTTCGATTTTCGATCTCATTTTTCGGCTACCCCTGACATTTCAAAAAATGATACAGTGGTTTCTCACAACAGAGTACCCATTTATCTCTCGATTGAGAAAGTTTTAAAAAAATCGTTGGGGGCTTTTCCGAGAAACATGCGTCTAAAATTGCTCGAAATCGCAAAATACCTTACTTTTCAAAGTCACATAACTTTTTTAGTTTTTGATAGAAACTTGTCGCTGAAGTACCATCTGATAGACAATTCAATTGGCTATTAAACGATATAAAACTTTAACTAAACGCCAAGAACACAATTGATACATCGCATTTTCCGCACAGGCACCCACTTTTCACAATTTTGTCAAAGTTTGGATACCTTTCTTGACTACTTCCGGTGATTAGAGGATTTTCATTTATAGTTCATGGACTGGTTTGGTCCTTCGACTTCATATTCCTGAAGTTTCAGAAAAATCGTTGGAGTCGTTTTAAAAAATAAGAACTCTACGATTTGACCAAGATGCGAAAAAAAGTGAAAAATCAAAGTTAAAATTTCAGAACAAAACTTATATTGTTGGAATTGGATTGATGTCAGCTATCCAAAAATATAACTGAAATTTCAAAATTCCCAAAAATAAAAATTTTAGAAAATTGAAAATTTTCCATTTTTCACCAAAAAAATGAGAGCGACAAAGTTTCTAATTTCCACAATTTAGAACTGCTATCTGCTCAGAAATGACTCCAGTTATCCCAAAATGTAAATATCTGAAGAATCCATTGAGAATTAAGAGAATAATGACCGATTTTCAATTTTCGTGCACGTTAAAGATCATACTGCACGCAGCGACCCATCTACGTCATACTTCCCAGAATGTGACACAGCACTGATTATCCGCCATTTATAACGCTCATGTGATCATTTTGGGGCGGGACTTATCGACTCGATACCTCTTTGTTTAGACAACAGAGTAAAAATAACCCACGCACGTGTGTTTTATGTAAACACGGCATGTCGCTGACACTCGCGTAAAAGCGATATATAATATGTGCTATGGGTAATATTGCAATAAATTCTTTACCATTGTAAACTGTCTTTAGAGTTTCAATCTGTTTATCTTTCAAAACAAGGTTAGATACTCCTAAATTTGTTTTCGCAAACAAAACCGCCTCTGTGAAATTATGTTTCATGGGCGCCGCCATATTGAATAATTAGATGACTATTTTGTGATTCGGCTTTGATTAGTTTGACATCTTTCATACACACAGCGGCTAAATAAACATATTTAATTTCATTCAATATGACAATAGAAGAGAAATAAATACTTTTTAAAATTTCTAAAAGCATACTCAGTGTTTTCGACTAAAATCGTCGATGTAGGAATTTAAATGTCGGTTAATTAGCTTAGGGCCTATTCTCAGCCGGAGCTAGCTGTAGATAGGCAGCCTAAGTTTGGGATGGTTAAAGATTTGACGCATTTCCGCTATGGGCACAAATTTCGAAATAGCTTTAAGCAGTAGCTGCACACCACTTTTCCGACAGAAAATCAAATTTCAAACCTCTATCTCTTATAGTTGCTGAGATCTAGCTTCCCCCAATAAAAAAATAAATAATATTAATCTTAGTAATAACAATAGCCTTTCACCGAGGGTGAAAGCCTAATAAGAATAATAATTCAAACAAAAACAAGCTACGCAGTGTGAAACCCTAATAATGCTTTTTAAAAAAATAAAATGTGGTTGCTATGGTAACAACCCAAACTACTTCACATTTTACTCAAACTTATACAATCCATATCATTTTTATACGCCCACATCTTCTTGCGGACGCTCTAGAGGCCAAAGTTAATATCCGATTGACTTCAGATTGATACACAGAGTTTAAGATCTTGAGACAATCAAGTATATTGATTTTCAATGAATTTTTTGACTTGGAACAGCTAAATCCATGATACAGTATTAAAAGTTTTGTATACAAAACGTTAGCATGGGGCAGAACTTTATAAAAACCAAACAAATTCTAATGGTTTTCTGAGTTGTTGCTCTTAATCAAATTTTAGTGTATTATAAATGTTTCATTACCGAAAAAAGTAAAAATATGCGACAACTCTTGTTGACTGCCCGGACGATTTAGCTGCTGTGGGTAAGGCTGGGAATCGATATGAAATTTCAATATCAATTATCGGCAAGAATTTGTCAGCGATTATCGATAATAATCGATTATCATTTTTCCGGAAAAATCTGAACTTTACCGACCTGTTATTTGTGTTGATCGAGTTACAGTAGTGTTATTATCCTAGTCTAATACTGTGCCGATGTGCCGATGTACGTAAAAAAAATCAATTAATGTAAAATAATTACGTGTGGTTGTTAAATGTAGGACTAACTTGAGTACTAAAGTTTTGTTCTTGATTCATTTGAACCTTTTTTTATTTCAATATCTCCGATAAATACAAAGACAATACATGGTTTCTCTTTGCAAGTGACTGGCGATCACACAGTGTTACTACTAATAGAATAAAATAAAATAGAAGGCGTCTATTGATTGGACAATAAAAAAATAATTATGGGCTTTCAAAGTAGAATTTTTATGATTGGTTAATTTAGATGAAAACCAAAGTAGAATTCTTCCACGAAATTACGAGAGATATAGATATTTTCCCTGGAAGTCAAAAACGTGTTTTGTATGGGCTGTATATGACATGATTTAGTAATAAAAGCGGAGTTGATCATTAATAATACAATTAGTTTTATCGTGAAAGCAGACGATTTCTCTACAAATCAATCAAGAACAAAGAAGGGAGATAATTCTAATTTTACTATATACCACGTGCGATTGTCATTGTTCACAAAGTGCGTGACCTATTTTAGTTTCAACTAGTAATAACAACAAAAACGACGAAAATATTAAAATAATGTATTTAATCTTAAAGTTTAGTTTTTTTACAATAATATATATTTAAAATGTGCCAGTTTGTAAGCAGAGGGGGGAAATAGTTGTTGTGTTGACGTGTATTCATTCATTCGTCTGCTAATGCCAGACTACGGCAAGTTCAGTCATGTGAAACTGACCGTAACTTGCCGTCAGAAGGTAAATATAAGCTTACCGATAATCGATATTTGAATTTCAATATCGATTATCGTATCGCTAAATAACTTCTACCGATTATCGATTATATCGATATTTTTGCACAGCCTTAGCTGTGGGCGTATGTTTCGTTGCCTGGCAACCTATCTTTGATAGTTTCGATAGGAAATGAAATATGGCATCGCAAAAAACACCAAAAATGACTTTTTCAAGGTGTTGAAAAACCTTTCTTCCGCAAAAAGTCAAAAATCACAACTTTTAGCCTCCATAAAAAAAAAAAATTTTCATCCGATTTTGAATCTGTAAAAAGTTTTGTGAGAAGAATGATGAGATCTACTTGAAAAACTTATAAAATCAAATGTATAATCATAATCTCTAAATCACCTTTTCCACCTAATTAAAAAAAATATTTTTCCAATATGCTAGGTTGGTATCAACTGAATCAACCTAATATTTTGTGTGGATGTATCTGGGTACCAACCAATCTCACACAAAAAATTTGGTCCAAATCCCCAACCCAAGGGTTATCACTCTCTGCATGGTGCTCTCACGGACACGCTCTTAAATATATCACCATTCCACCATAATGAAGGTTGAATTCGAAATTCGGGAAAATTGAAATGAAACTGTCCAACAAAATGGCCGCTCTTTGTACGCAAATTGTGTAAAAGTATGTAATACAACTGCTGTGGATCCTCTTGAGGTCATAATTTTTATCTGATTTTAATGAAACTTACACCATATCTTTTGATATTTGTGCATTTCAGACCATAACTTTCTTAATTATTGCCCCTGATTGTACCAAAAATCCTGTTTTTTTTTATCTTGTTCTCTATCCATCTCTTGCAAAATGTGGGTGTATCCTGCCTGGCAGCCGCTGGTTTCTATATTTTTTAATTTGATTTTTAAGGTTCTACAAAGGTTTGGTCCCATTATGGGCACGACAAATCCCATATACCATGATGAAATTTGCCTGTTTTGAAAGAACGGTAGAGGCTTTATATAAATTTGTTGTACCTAAACCACGATCCGAGTGCAGTAAAGGAGAACAATTGGTAGTCACATTTGCAGCTGGATATATTGGTATGGAAATATGTTCTTAAAATTGTTTATTTTCACAGTCCAATGGCCAGTAACTGAACAGAATACAAAATGTGTTTTAATCAAAATTTTCAAACTTTTTGGGGTATTTCTTTCAAAATAGTAATTTACATGTGAAACCTTTAAACATTGTGGTTGCAAGAAAAATATCTTGTGCTTCAAGATTTGTGAAATATTGTTAAATTTTAAACATTCAGGTTTTTATTACCCACCTAGTCTTTTCAAAGGAATGATAGATTGTAGTTCGTGTAAGAATAAAGGCTACAATATTAACATTGCAGACATTGGCCGAAGGGTCACGCATAAGCAAGATGATTTGTTTAATTTATAATTATATAGTGTTTTATTTTCAGCTGGTGTATTCTGTGCTATTGTTTCACATCCTGCTGATACTATTGTATCTAAACTCAATCAAGCCAAAGGAAGTAATTTTATAGATGTTGCTAAAAGTTTGGGTCTTATGGGTAAGTTAAAAGTTTTATTTTGGCTTTTCATAGACAAGTATTGGTTCTTGAATCTCATAAATTGAAAATATCTTTATGGAATTCATTGATAAATTCCTGTAATTTCCGGTGTGGTTAGAATTTATTCTTGTACCTAATCTAGGTAATAAACATAGATAAAACTAGAACTGCGATGCAGTAATGACGAGTTTCACCGGGGCCACATTACCCTTGAACTGATGTCACTTCCGGTGCCATGTTACCCTTGAACTTATGTCACTTCCTGTACCAATGACAACGTTAAACAGGTTTGCACATAAGCAGTTTGCACACATGAAATAAAATGGACGCAGAATCAACCAAATCCAGCAATCAATTCATTTTATACATTTGTTACATGTAAGTAGGTGGAAAAGGTGATTTTGAGATTATGATTATACATTTGATTTTATTAGTTTTTCAAGTAGATCTCATTCTTCACACAAAACTTTTTACAGATTTAAAATCGAATGAAAATATATTTTTTGTATGGCCGCTCAAATTTGCGATTTTTGACTTTTCGCGGAAGAAAGGTTTTTCAACGCCTGAAAAAGTCATTTTTGGTGTTTTTTGCGATGTCATATTTCATTTCATAGCAAACCTATCAAATATGTAATGTAAATTCACGAAATACAACTTTAAGGATAATTATGCTTCAATTTTCACATTTTTGTAATAATTACTCTGATTTCCCCAGCAACTCCACAAAACATAGGTTTTCCCCAAAATTCCATTTTTATACGCCCACATTTTCATGTGGACATTATGCCGTCGCCCCTGTCCGTCCGTCTGTCCGTCCACAATTTGTTTGTGGACACTCTAGAGGTCACAATTCTTATCCGATTTTGACGAAACTTAAAATATAGGTTTATCTCCAAAAGATCTCGGCTGCTTTCGATATTGGCATGTATCGGAAAGTAACTTCCTGAATTATGGCCCCTGATTGTACGAAAAAACGCAATTTTAGCTTGTGGACCCTATAGAGGTCATAATTTTTATCCGATTTGAAAAACCATATTATTATATCACCGTTACACCCTAAGGACGCCTGAGTTTGAATTTCGTGAAAATCAACCCAATATTTGACAGACAAAATGGTTGCCGTTCGTTCTCAAATAGCGTAAAAATATGGTATATCAAGGTTGTGGACCCTATAGAGGTCACAATTTTTATCCGATTTTGTTGAAACTTGAAATGTAAGTTTATAACCCAAAGATCTCGATTCCTTTCGATATTCTCTCGCATATCGGATAAGGGTGTGACGATTAGTCGGTTTAGTTTAGTCGGTTCGGTTTTACCTACAAACCGGTTCAAGTTTCGGGAAATTGATAGTCGTCTAAAAAATACAGCATGATATAAACCAGTCGCCCGAATATTATAACATGTTTTTTTTAAAAAGATACATGTATTAACGAACGACAATTATGGGGGCGAATAAGTAATAAGCTACATCATTGATAAATGGTCGAAAATAATAATAACGAGACAGTATATACTATATTCCGTAATCGGCCGTGGATATTCTCGCGATTACAAGCGAGTGTGTTTTTGCATACCTAATGAAGTTATTTTAAGAATACGTTATTTGATTGGTCGGTCGCTAAGGTCAATGGTTGAAGTGCCCAATCAGAAACAAGCAATCCTCCAGGTTAGGTCAATAGGCATGCGCACTGAGCTGATGCCCAGATATGCTTTCTCGTCGGTTTATCACTAATATTATTGATCAATACGTTATTGTTTGAAGTTTTTTATATGTTGTATTTATTACTTTTATTAAAAAGGTTAAACAGGAGATTTGAACAAACTACATAGTACAAACAAAACCAGATTTTTTAATGTACTGGACACATAAAACATAGAACTGTATGTATGTCGCCATTACAGTTTTAAGCTCCGTATATAAAGGCCAGTATATTAGCGTGTATTGTAGACTATGGAAGACTAATATTTTTCAGTTAGTTTTCATTACCGACTAAACCGAATCGGTTCGGTTTTTTAGCCGCCGACTAACCGGTTCAAGTTTTGCTTAGTCGCCACACCCTTAATATCGGACCGTAACTTCCTGAATTATGGCCCCTGATTGTACGAAAAATAGCGTTTTTAGCTTGTGGACCTATAGAGGTCATAATTTTTATCTGATTTAAAAAAACGTAATCTTATATCACCGTTACACCCTAAGGATGACTGAATTCGAATTTCGTGAAAATCAACCCAAAATTGACAGACAAAATGGCCGCCGTTCGTTCTCAAATAGCGTAAAAATATGGTATATCAAGGTTGTGGACCCGATAGAGGTCACAATTTTTATCCGATTTTGTTGAAACTTGAAATGTAAGTTAATAACACAAAGATCTCAGTTCCTTTCGATATTCGCGCATATTGAATTGTAATTTCCTGAATTATGGCCCTTGATAGTAGGAAAAATCACTTTCTTGTTAGCTTGTTCTCTATCCATCTCTCGAAAATGTGGGCATATCCTGCCTGGCAGCCGCTGGTGTAAAAGTGATTTTGGTCAATTTTTTCATCAAAAATTGTTCTGTCCATGTTATAATCTAAAATATTGAACCTTGTTGCTATGCATTTTTATACGCCCACATGCAATATTTAAGCTAGTGAAACGAAGAAGCCTATTGAATTTCAACAATTTCTGTTTATTACGTCTAGAGTTATGGCCCTTGTTTCACTTTGTTGAACCTTGTGAATGCTCTAATGCCAAAAGTTAACATACGATCTTTGTGAAATTTATATGCAATATTTAAGTTAGTGAAACGAAAAAGCCTATTGAATTTCAACAATTTCTGTTTATTACGACTAGAGTTATGGCCCTTGTTTCACTTTATTGAACCTTGTGAACGCTCTAACTCCAAAAGTTATCATCTGATCTTTCTGAAATTTATACGCATTATTTAAATTAGTGAAACGAAGAAGCCTATTGAATTTCAGCAATTTCTGTTTACTACATCCATGGCTTGAAATGTTCGCCTGTCTACTTGTCGCCGACCGGCGATTTTTTCGTTTGACAGGTAGCAAATAAAACTACCTGTCGCTTGCGACAGGTGGACTAAATTTTACTTGATGTTCAGTAAATTGACCACAATACTCACGTCCACGTCACGTACATTTAATTATTTGTTTCTAAATGCAAGAATTAAGCACGGAAATACCGCGAAAAGCCGCCATTTGCACTGTTTACATTTCGCTCTGCCGTAGGCTTGTTACTCACACAGTTTGGAAGTAGACAATGAATTTCACACCATCTACGCTTGTTTTCATCTGCTTGACACTAGTTTATAGCATTATGGAGTATTATATCTAAATAAATTAAAACGCACCCCCAAGTCACCTGAAATAATTCTACAGTAACGACACCACAGTAAATTATAGTAGTGGTTGGAATGGAAATGCACACGGCTCGAAGCATGATGTATTTAATCATTTAAAAAGTTTTAAACAATTTCCATAAATAAAGGCTATGAATAATTTATAAGACAATTTGACAAAATCAAAAAATCAGGTCGGAAAAATATTTCATATATACATATAATTTGTAGCGTAAATATAGTCCGGATGTGTGAGAAGGGAATTCCAGGTGGCGATATCTGTCCTTCGCACGCGGTACATGTAAATACGGTGCCATGCACAGGTGTGATTTGTGTTTTGATATTCAATTTATTACGGATATTTTAAAATCTGAATTCTACAACTCAACTGTGAAGTATTCGATTTAGTACGGAAGTGTGGTACCATGATACCTTGCGGAATTCACGTGGATACGGATGATAGAATTGTACGAATCTTCGAGTCGCTGAGCCAAAGCAGATTCGCCGACTTTCAAGAACTTTTAGGCAATCCGATGTCGAAGAAATAAAAAGGTTTCATATTACGATATTTATATAGAGCAATGTACGTCAAAGACCTAACCACGTGTGTGTGTACCTACATGTATGGATATGTGTGATGTTATTAGTCTTTGAGATCTATTAGTCTATTAGTTCGAGTTCAAATTCTTTATTCCTTTAAGGCCAAAGACTCATCAGGTATAACATATAGTACAAACAAATAAATAAATACAATATGTACAAAAACAATATAGTTCACCGATGTTTTTGTAATAAAGAACAATAGTATTGTTTGTTGATTAGCGTTATGATTTTAGACAAAATGGTAAGTTCACCATATGTTTTTGTAATAAAGTAGACCTGTATTGTTTGTTAATTGACTTTATCCCATGATTTAAAAAATTGGCGATGGGTAATATTGGGTCAAAAATAATTCCTTAAATTGCGCCGGAGCCCCTTTTAGATAAATTGAATTCGCATAAAAACAACAAAGAGTGGCTACGTGCGATTTTATTCTTTGATACACAGGACATTTCTGTTATTCAAACAAATCTGCACGAGAATGACAACATACAAGTTGACAGTTACCATTGATTTGGGGTTCATGTAGAATAAGCTCTTCTATCGAGCCTACAGTTTTTCTTTTCTAAAATAAAATGAGTGCCTTGGATTTTTGTGTGGATTTGATAGCGGTTATACTTTACTAATATTCTCTGACATCGGAGACTTGTGTCGCGTTCATTTCATTTTTATACGCCCACATTGAAATGTGGTCGTATATTGCCGTCGGTCCGTCCGTCCATCGTCCACAATTTCTTGTGCACACTCTACAGACTACATTTATCAACCGATTGTTTTGAAATTGATATATGTTGTTTGCATTAATGAGATGAAGAAGCCTATTTAATTTCAATAACTTCTGTTAATTTCTTCTGGAGTTATGGCCCTTGTTTCACTTTGTTGCACCTTGTGAACGCTCTAACGACAAGTTATCAACCGCTCTGTATGAAATTTATATGCATCTTTTAAATTAGTAAAACAAAGAAGCCTTTTGAATTTCAGCAATTTCTGTTAATTACATCTAGAGTTATGGCCCTTGTTTCACTTTGTTGAATGTTGTGAACGCTCTAATTACAAAAGTTA